TGTCACGAAGTGTTCTGGCGATGTATTGAATTTATTGGAGCCTCTGGAGACACCCTACATTTTGTTACATAAGAGAGAGGACATTGTTAGATCAAGATCTTCAGATGATGTGGTGCTGCAGGTTTTTCCGGGTTTTTCTGCAGCTGAAAAAGCAAATACGCCACTGGAATCAATGAAGTCGCCCCGGAGCGCTAATTAATTTTTATTGTTGTTTTTATTTCATTATGGAAGTGTATATGAACCCGTTAACAAGAAAATACTTTTTATAATCGTTCAATCTCAATATCGTTTCAGAAAATACTACTTTTTCTCTGAATAGTTTTTCAAAAATATCATTTCATGAAATACAGAATAAAAAATGCGTATAGCGACGCTTTTGTCATGATATGTAAAGGGAATAAATTATTTTTCTGTAATTATTTGTTATGAATCTATAAGTTTGGCATAAATTTTGGACAAGTTCAACGAATATACTGTTATAAATCATGCCCACGAGAAAAAACGGAACAATACAATTAAATTTTGTTCATTTCGCTATCTAGCATGCTCACAATAAATTAATATTATTCAATGGTAATTATACTATTATTTTTCACATATAGTCATTGGGCATAATTGAAGACTGACTATAAATCAAATCATCTAAAAGAACAATTCGTTCAGGCCAGTCTCAACTCCCTACACTGTAGGTTAATGGACTGACACCTTTCAGAAAACAACTACTCCCCTGGCTAATACCACGAAGGGCGTTAAATTATATTCGACAGGTGTCAGTGCAGGATTCTTCACAAAAGTTATTTCTGCATATGCTGTTGGCGATACAACTGCCCCAATATATTTTCAACTATTGAAACACACTTGCAGACTGGTTTCGGGCTGTTTGGCCACTCGTCAGTGAAAGGTAGTGTATAACATCAACATAAAGTCGATGATTTCCGATAATTGAAAATCAAATTCCTTCAGAGTATCATTCCTCGAACTAACCTGAAGCATACAACAAACAACAGGTTTGTCGTCGCCCAATCTGCCTGTTAGAAATTATTACGAGAAATAAAGTTTCTACTTTATCTCTGACTGAATAAATCTTGTGAAACTTGAACCTTTGACGTAGAATAAATGCAGAACAATTACATGTGTTTAATATTATTGTGAGAAATGCAGTTTCTACTTTGTCTTTGGCTAAATAATCCTGTGAAACTTGAACCTCTGGCGTAGAGTAAATCCAAAACATGCACATTTTCCAATCACCAGAGCTGTTATACCCTTCGCGACGCGCGTTCCACCAACCTAGTTGGCATCTTGAGGAGATCTAGATAAAATCCAATTCAATTAGTTTTCGATAGATCGAAAACTAATTCAATTAGTTTTATTCATTCCTATCTTGGTTGGAGAAACGTGCGTCGAAATGAGTTCTGGTATTTGAGAAAAGTGATAGTTTTGGATTTATGCTACGCCAAAAATTCCAGTTTCACCTTATAAAATGACCGAATATTTTTTTCAATAGCATTTGATGAAATGTGGTTGGTAATAAAGATGAGGCCAATAGCTAGGAACGTACCTACTGCAGCTTGCAAAAAGGCAAAAAAAAATTATTTGAGTCATAGTCCGTGATTTTTATTTTTGTTGTATTCATCACTCGTTATATTTAATTCCAGGACTCGGATGTCACGCAGATAGCTATAGCTGTCTGGATATGTTATTTGTCTCCTTATAAACACAAAGTCTTCTGGTTAAAGCCATATGTGGTGGTTGGCACCTGGAAGTGAATCCGCTTGCTTGGGTTTCAGTTTGGCAATCGAGTGTTGTCCATCTTCTATACTTGGCTGAACTGTACTGGCTATTAACTTTCGTCAGTATGGTACAGCAAAATATACAGTATAGACAAGGATAGGTTGCAAGAAAGGGGCCAACTGCAGACACATGGCGCCCGTCAGAAGTCTTTGTGAATACAGTAACAACCAATAGAGTCACTATCGCTATAACAATCTGCGTGACATGCAGGTTCGAGATAAAACAACACTGAATGATGTGTGAGTGATATGAGACGACCACTCATGAAGAAAGGTGGGAAAACCGCAGATTGATGTCCTTCGCCAATACTGTACAGCCATGTGTGAGGAATTGGCAACATGGCAACATTGGTAACATGAGTGCTTCTTCAGCAACCTGCTTGACATCCGGATCTCAGATAAAACAAAACTGAATAATGGTAGTGGACCGACCACAAACACTCAGAAAGGTGTGTGAACTTCAGACATGCGTTTCTGGCTATTAGCCTTCATCAATACGGTACAGCCAAGCGGATAGGATGGGTAACACTTGGATGAAACAATAACGAAACAAGCGTATTCATCATATGTAGCCAACTGATGGATAGTGAGTGATATAATGTAAATCATTGATTTGTTAATATGTCTTTTGTTACTTCGAGATCACAATTTTTTCCGATGATACAACGAATGCGTAGTTGGCTGAATACACTTGTTTTGATCTCTTTCGTATATAAACGAATATATGATCTAAATCTAAAAGAGAACGTGTATTTTATAAATTGTATTTATTAGCACATCTGCTCTTTGGATTCTAGAGCAATCGACAGAGGTCTTCAGAAGACCTGAATGAGTGTTTCTTTGACACATATCTCCAATGTCCAAATATAACCCAATGAAGGCAATCTAAATGCTAACGAGGAGTTGAAAACTAGTATTTTCATCGGAAAGCCATGAAAGTACTGTTAAGCAAATGACAATCAACACCAAAATATACTTGTTTCATTATGTGCTTGTAATACATGAACTTCATATATCATAAAATGATGAACATTATACGAAACAACAGTGGAAAAATTACTAATACAACTGAAAATCAATTATGAACATTTATATAACTTCCAGAATATGTGTGTTATATTATAGGTAACTGGATGTGTATTTTTTTCTCAATTTTATCGATTGAAAAAGGCCTGTAAATATGAAATTTGTAAATTCATATATGTTTTTTTAGAACGTACAACTAGACAACTTCTCGACCAGCTGGGCGGACGGATTGGCATTTTGTGCTCTCATCCACCATTTTCTGCCAGACGCTTTCGACTATCATACATTAACGCCAAAAGATCGAAGACATAATTTTGAACTTGCCTTCAAGGTTGCCGAGTAAGTTTAATTTTTAAGTGTATGATTTCATGCTGAATATTAATATTTTGTATTGAATCCAAAAGTAATTGTTCAACTAGTCTAATGTTCTCAATCTTTTTCGTAATTTTAGTTCATCTATGTTTCAGTGAAAAGGCGGATATTTTCCCTCTGCTTGACGTGGATGACATGATGGAAACTAGAAAGCCTGACTGGAAATGTGTTTTCACTTATGTACAGTCCATTTACCGACGTTTCAAGGATGAAGAAATATAGGTATTAATAATAGGAACTATTGTACCTACTCAGGATAAAAGATACATTTCTGAACAAATTTATAAATAATGTTACAAATATTTTCAAGCAAATCTCATACTGGGTACAAACATTATTTCTTGAATTATATAGAGTAAATGTAAATTTATTTTGTTTTTGTCTAATTATTTAGGTAGTTTTTATTGAATATCATAGGTAGATACACTGTGGTGCTTAAAATATTTATGGATTTGTTAATTTTCCACTGTGATTAGAAAATGTAATGGTCTAGCATCTAGAGAAAAAAAACTCTAAGTTAATCGTTATAAAAAGTGATATTTCTATACATTTTTTATCTTTCGTCTGTCCAGCTGTTTTTAAGTAGTTTTTGTATGAGTTTATATTGCATTATTTTATCTCCGCTTATTTATTTACTCACCTATATATTTAAGATGGGTTGTTGCTTTTGCCATGTTGTCGCTAATAATTACCAAATAATTCTTTGATTTGTCTGATATTAATTGTCTAATTAATCCGTTTCCCATGTGCTCTAAATCACATATATTATATGAATAATTTATGAAAGAATCATAATAAAGAAATAATAGTGATAACTTTTTTTTAATTGGAGCAAATACAAAATTCATCATGAGATAGATTTCTAAATTTGGTAAGCAATAGTCCAAAATCTCAGAACCGCCGTACCTATATCATTTTAACTAAGCTAATATGATGGAATCTATTCTTGTTGAAAACTAGAACCCAAACACAACGCATTTATGATCTAACACCAGACAGCGCTGTATTGACCCGCCGTTGGTCTCATCAGTGGTGTAACTCTGAACCACAAATGCTTTGCAGGCCTCAAGAGTTCTTGAAGAACAAATCTGACAGGTTGATTTATACCAATCCAAAGACCTCCCCCACCACTTGAACTGCGACCACTTCATACGACCTTGACTAAGTAACTTTCAGATGACATATGACTGAAACTGCGCCATGTGAACTTGATAAGCTACGTTGAAGGAATTCAAGGTCACACTTTTCATTCAAGCTTGATTTTCATCAAGGTCATTCAATATCAAATCCCTTCTCAACCTTGAAAATCGCCCTCAAGTGACCTTGTGAAGTTTGAGCTTAAATATGCGGCAGCAGCGCTATATCCTTCGTCTATGATATAATTCAACATTCCCCCACACCAACACGATTTTTAAATTAGCTTATGACACACCACCACTACTCGTAATGTCACAAGAACTTGAATCGTGTACCTTCCTTTCTTGTGCTCGAAGTTCGGCGGTTAGGCATTCAACTTGTGTAGGTCGAATAGAACACTACTCGTTAAAAGTATACTCTTATTCACCGCTGTTGTATTATTGAAATTTGGGCAGCTTTTACAAGCAACTAGAAAATTGATTGCCTCCGTAAAATTCGTTGCTTCCCGAAAATTAACCTTCCCATCTATCAGAGGTAGCATTCCATCAACTACATTCCACCAACCACCGACCTTGAGATGATTTTGAATGATCAGGTGGGACTCCCCATAGGCTCAAGGTTAGATGGTTACTCCCTTTCGACTCTTTGTCTATGACATTGCAAGCCCACAACTCATTTCGACGTTTGATGATTTGACTTTGAAGGCCGATAACATTCCTTCGGCTTTGATATTCCAACCGATGGGCCTCTTTCACGCAGCACTCGACACACTTGTAACATGAGTGGGGAATATGATGTATAAATAATTTGTATCAGGAATAAAACCATATTCGGATGATCAATAATAGGACACAACAATTATTGATTATTTTATTCATTAATAGAGCATTTACATGTTAATATTATCAACACAATTTGAATAGAATTATTGTTTTATTTATTAATATCAAACATTCACATGGCAATCTTATCATAGTCAAACAGAGCCATTATGGGCTTTATAAGACAAAACAGCATCGTGAAGGATGAGTGTATATACTTTAGTGTGTGCTGGGAACTTGACTCTATTTTGATTTCGACAGTGATGACTTCATAGCAGGTTAGTTCATGCATAATAAGCTGATGAGTAAATTTCTTCTCGAAATCCAGAATCCAACGCTCATATGGGTATACTTCAGAGTTCAAATTCAAATGAACATTATGCATGTATGAATTTTGTTACATCCTTTGATACACTCTCGGATTGGTCGGTGTTTTGGGAGCTGACAATGATGTATCAAGGTCTATCCAGACTATTGGTTATCTCCAGGCTCCATATATCTGAGGCTGTATCACGAAGTGTGGGTAATTTATAAAGATCCCACATACGATAGGCCACCTTCACATTAGCATTATTACCTACCACTTTTATATGCGGTTCAGTTGTTATAGTTTCTGGCGGTGTTCCGGCACAATATGTCTAATTCTTTATTCTATTTTACTGATTTCCAATTCTGCATTGGCTGATGAATGCATTTTTGAAGAAATTTTCTTTCCTTGAAGGTTGATACCATTCCTTCGGCTCTGATATTCCAACCGCTAGACCTCTTTCACACTGCGCTCACCACTCTACCGCTTGGTCGATACATTTGTAACATGGGTGGGACTAGATAATATTTACACACTATTTTAGATAAGTCCCAGAATTAATATTTACAACCTACTCTTGTTATAGATTTTATAAAGAAACTATTTTTCATTGATTGAATAGAACTGGCCGATACTTGATGAAAATCTATATTAAAACTCATTATTACAGTTTATTGTATGATTTTCACTATAAAGGGTCCAGTCATCACCCGAAGAGAATTATGGATACTAACAATCGAAACGTCGTGAAGTAACTTGGCTTGAAATTAATCAATTTTTATTCCATTTGAATTATTCAACTGTTAATTTTTTTGTTCAATTTTTATTTTATTGTAATTTAATTTCGGTATTTTTTGCTTATTCTAATTGTTATTTTAAACTGTTCATTTCATTTCTCAATTTCATTTGTTCTTTCAGGAATTTCAAATCATATTATATCATATTAGACAATGGAAGTCAGAACTAATGAAATTCACCTTGAAACATTGTCAACCAACTTCAAACAAATGTTGAACACTGGGTACGGACCCGGTACCATCGACTTGTTACAAGGATATGAGAAGACTATGGTCAAACTTAGCAAGGAAGAAACTCACCCCAGTTTCTTGTGCAGAGCAAGGGACAATATCCTCCCCAAAGGGAGGACAGAGCACTGATAAGGTCTCAAATTAATTACCACCGTTGGAAGAGGTCAACGATGATGTAGGATGCCACACAACGATTCGAAAATATTTGCCAAGATTGAAAGCATGTGCTTGAAGATTTGTAAAGGCATGGAGAATACCCACGACAGGAAGTGGGGAATGTTTTTTGAGGAAACTATGCCCAAATGCAGACCGGAAACAGGACAACTACGAAGCCACCAACGTCATCAATTCCTGCCCACGGATGTAGAGAAATCCTTTTTGTGGAAAGGTCTGAAATTTGCCATTGCTCCAACATCTGTGCCCACTTTTGAGAAAATTACTTCGGTGAAATCCACCAGTTCCCTTATTGATCAGACCGAGGCAGAAGAATTCAGATGGAATAACAGAGAACACCATCAAGATCCTATCTACAGATAACTACTGTTGTGATGAATACTGACCTCTACGAAGAGAAGATCGAAGATGTTCTTCACGAAGATTGTACGGGACCCTACTATCAATTGAAAGGAAGTTGTACCAGACTCTAAAACACCAAATCTATTTTTCGTAAAAGGAGAGATCATCGCTAACACCGCATCACAGTAACTTGTATGGACTATCCAAAATCCGCTCAGACCGACTATTAGCTCCAGAGATTCACCTGCTCAAAACTGGTCTAGATTTTCCAATGATTACAACCACTATGAAGAAAAATAACATCTTTTGTGAAGCATTCAAGCCATTTCGTTGAATAACTAGGGGCAATCGAAGTCACAGAGCAAGATCTAACAATTGTTTCGACGTAGAAAGCCTTCACACCAACGTTTCTGTCGAAGAAGCACTTAAAAGCATACAGTGGAAGCTATATGAAGACGAGGACCTGGAAGATACAACAAATTTACCTATAAAAATGATCATGGAATTACTAGGATGGTGTGTACAGAACTGTTATTTCCAACTGAAGGACGATTTCTTTATGCAAGATGAGGGACTGCCAATGGGATCGCCACTTTCACTGGTTATAGCCACCATATATATGGAGAGGTTCGAAACTCTGGCCATTGAAGAAGCTCATAAGCCCCGAGTCAGAACTAGACATTTCTCTGAAGCACATCAATAGCGTTACACCTTTCATCACCTTCACAATGAAGAAGGAGGCCCATAACAAATTTTCATTCTTAGACGTATTGGTGATAAGAACCGACACTAAGTGGGAAACATCTGTATACCGAAATGCCATCCACACGGACGGTATCTGAATTACGAATACAACCACCATCAAATATTTTGAGGTTATCTTTACTAATTTTGTGTTTTGAATCTTGAAGATGTGCGTACATTGTAGATTTTTTGTCCAAACAGACATGTTCACGCAGCCTTACGTCAGAATTTCTACCGGTTTGGCCTGTATATACTGCAGAGCATGCAACGTTCACACTTATCTCGTGATTCGTCGGGGTGGGCCAG